AATACTTAAAAAGTACAAAGCACATTAAATTCTTTGCTATATCTATTATTTGAATTGATCTAAATGCAACATGATTTGAAAACATGTACTGAAATTTTTGGAAAGCTGATTCTTTAAAAACAAACAACAAAATCCTTTTCAGATGCATCTGTTTTTTTAAAAAATTTCTCCAATCCATATTCTTACTGCTTTATTCAATGAGCTGTATCAACAAATGTGGAAATTATTCATACCATACTATGTCCTTAAGTACAATTCAGGAATAATTTAAAAAAATAAATAAGAATCAGTGTTTCAACTGTTTATTTTAGCAGGTAATTTACTTAAACAAATAAAAACAAACCATTATAAACAACTAAAAGTTAAAAGAATAATAGCTTCTAACATGTTTCAGACCAAAAGAGTAAAACATCATCTGTAGAGATATTTTCATCTGATAGTTTTTTGTGCTACCTACCTGTCTTACATCATTCAACTCTTGCTATATAAATAGATGTAAAAAAATACCACCACCAAGGCAGTCCTAGCTGGTTTGGCTGGGTAGATGGGGCATCAACCTGCGGAGTTAAAGAGTCCCGGGTTCAATTCCAGTTAAGGGCACATGTCTGGGTTGCGGGGCTCCATCCGCAGTGGGGGACATGCAGGAGGCAATCAATCAATGATTCTCTCATCATTGATGTTTCTCTCTCTCTCTCCCTCCCCCTTCCTCTCTGAATTATATACACGATATAATTCCTCTCTGCTATTCAGAGAAACTTTAGAGTTTAAGCGGGGGAGGAAGGAATATGAAGAACAAATATGTGTATAAAAGATGACTTCCAAAATAGAACAAATAATTTTCAAAATGTTTTGCTCAATAAGTGGATTGCTCAATAATCTGGTTCTTCACAGATGAACAAAAGTGACAAAGTAACAAACTGTGAAAGTGTTACTGTTCTAATAATCAACAAGAGAACTTTTAGAAAACTCATTACATTTAATTAAGTGATAAATTCTCAGACGTTTCCTTCAAACCATCACATTGTTCCCATCTACTTTCAAGGCCCCCAAATATTCAGTCTCTTTATCAAGAGATTCAAACAAACTCCAGTAGTAAAACTTCTAAAAGATTCATTCACTTTTTAGTGAGTCATAAGACACAACTATAAAAATAACATTATTTTTGTTAGTGCTCTAATACATCTAACAAGCATAGAAAAAGACGGTAAGTATACTTTTAAATCATTGTTTCAATTGATCATTAAGGTTCCCCTGTCCTCATAAAAAAAAGTTCTGAATTTATATAAGGCATAAATACACAAAATGCAAAGTAATATGAAGTAAACAATAAAAAACATTACAAGAGATGAGCAGTATAGTTTCATAAATATACAGAAAATTTGTAAACACAGTACCTGAGTTAGAAAATCAAAGGTTAAATCTCAGTTCTGACACCATTACTAGATGGTATGCATTTTTTAAAAAATGTTTTATTGATTTTTTACGGAGAGGAAGAGAGAGGGATAGTTAGAAACATCGATGAGGGAGAGTCATCGATCAGCTGCCTCTTGCACACCCCCTACTGGGGATATGCCGCAACCAACGTACATGCCCTTGACCGGAATCGAACCTGGGACCTTTCAGTCCACAAACTGACCTCTATCCTCTGAGCCAAACCGGTTTCAGCAGATGGTATGCATTTTAATGCAGGTATTCTGTACAGATTGCATTTTCCTTATAAATGGAAGGTGAAATTCCAACTTTCCCACAATACTGTCCCATGATATGATGATATAAGCCCACATCAGATTAAAAAACTAAAGGAATGATAAAGCAATAAAGGCTATGGGTTCATAAGAAAACAACACAATGAAAAATCTGAAAGGCTGCACTGATGGAACAAAAATTAAGCTTAACAAAATTTGAATTCCTTTGCTATTTGGGTACCTAAGGAGGTAAATTTTCTTTCAAAAGAATAGGCAGGCTATGCATAGACATTAAAAGTCTCAACAGATATAAAGGTAGAAAAAAACAAAGTCTAAATGAGAATAAGAGATTGGTTTGGTCAGGTGGGCAGTTCAGTTCCTATGCAGTGTTTCCCAAAGTGTGGTACGCGTACCCCCAGGGGTACGGGAAGAGTTTGGTGGGGGTACGTGTTGCACCGGAGTTTGGTGGGGATATGCACTGCACCGTGCTTAGCTGCGCCTAATTCTACATTCTCATGAGTACGAGGGGTACTCAGCGTTACGAAAATTATAGAAGGGGTACATATATGTCAAAAGTTTGAGAAACACTGCATTTGTGCTATTATTAGGAAAAACAGGTTTTGAGCAGATTGTTAAAAGGCTAGTAATTTGAACTATAGTCTATAGGTAATAGGGACCTACTGGTTTAATAATGAGATACGTTGAAAACATTATTTTAAGATAAGGCCCGGCCAGTGTGGCTCAGCAGTTAAGTCTTAACCTAGGAACCAAGAGGTCCCTAGTTCGATTCCTGGGTTGCAGCTCAATCCACATGGCAGCTGATATGATATTTCTCTCTCATCTCATGGATGTTTCTATCTATCCTTCTCCCTTCCTTTCTCTCTAAAAATCAATAAAAAAATATATTTTTAAAAACAGATTAGGCAGAAGGCTGGATATACTGAGTAGGAAGAAAAGGCAGACAGAAAACCTAGTTAAAAGCTAGAGGAAATGGCTGAGACCGGTTTGGCTCAATGGATAGAGCATCGGCTTGGGGACTGAAGAGACCCGGGCTCGATTCCGGTCAAGGGCATGTACCTTGGTTGCGGGCATATCTCCAGTAGGGGGTGTGCAAGAGGCAGCTGATCGATGACTCTCTCTCATCGATGTTTCTATCTCTCTCCCTTCTTCTCTGTACAAAATCAATAAAAAAAAATATTAAAAAAAAAAAAAAATATATATATATATATATATATATATATATATATATATATTTTTTTTTTTTTTTTTTAAAGCTAGAGGAAATGAATAGGTATCTGAAAAATTTGCCAATGATATGTGAGTTGAGGAAGTCAAAGGTAAAACCAAGATTTGTATCTGGGCAATTGAAACCATATCATCACCATAACATATGGAATCAATTTTGAAGGAAAGACTATAAATTCTATCTCTGAAATAGTCTAGTGAGGATCATCCAGACAAAATTGTTGCCTTCATTTTTAAATGTCATTTTTGGCCGTGCCAGTTGTCTTCCTGAAACCACACCGCAGAGTATGTATTAATGAAGAATTTTTAAGTGCTTAGTGACTTCCAGAATTTCCTCTGATTTTATGTGTCAACTAAATAATGATTTAATCTTCCGATGTAGGTAGATAACACTTGGAATTTTTCTATATTATAAAGGTGAGTAAATTGTAAAAGTTATAAAATTATGATAGGAAAAAAGGACTACATCTGTACTTATCAAAACAAGTCTCCCTGACAAGTAATTTATAACAATAATCACATCAAATCTACCTTGAGCTTTGGCAGGTCCCAAAGGTCCATAAGAAAAATAAATCCAGGGCACAAGTATCTCTCAACAAACTAAGAAAGCATTCTATGTATGCTTCAAGTTTTATTTACATGGACTAAAAGATAATGCTTAGAAAAATAAAGTACAGGATTTATAATCAAATATGTGAACAAGCACAGTTAAGGACACTTTGCAACTAGTGTTTACAGATTCTCTAGCTAATTCTCACAAATCACAATTTTCTCAAAGAAAAAAAAATCTGTAATCAAGATGAAATGAAACTATTAATCAACCAATGCATACTTCTTGAGTTACTATCAAACTGAATGGGATGCCTATTTAAAAACTGAATATTATCGACAATTCTCAAACAAAACCTTCTTCTTGAATTATTTCCTCCCTTCACTTTGGGACCTCGCTGAAAACTGAGCCTTTAGGCACAGGGCTTCCCAAGCGCTTAATATATTGTATGATTGAGTTTGCATAAATCTACCAAAAACTTAAAAAAAAAAAAAATGAGTTAAACTCCTGCAACACTTACCCATTTTGACCAGACACTGAGCTTCTCTGCTCACTCACCCAAGGTGGGATTTATAAAAATTCTCCTTACCTTCATTCTCTCCTACCTTCATTCTTTCATACAGAAATCTAATGGGTAGAATTATTTTTTAGCTTGATCAGTGCATCGGTTCGAGTTTAATTGCGCGTCTATAATCATGTCACCGTTTCTCAGCCCCGAACAAAAAAAAAAACAAAAAAAAAAGCTTCTTCCTGAGCTCCTAACGGCCGATCTAACTTTTATGGAAACACAGAAGAAAGGTTACAAAATCAGCCAACCGAGGTCGCTTGTTACCGGATCTACATGACAAGGCAAGTCAAAAAGCTCACAACCCAGGCAACTCAACGCAGGAATCGACCCCAGGTCCGTCCATACGATTAAAATACCCCGGTTTCCCAAGCTCCAGGGGACCGGCTGGGGCTGGGGGAGGGGCAGAGGGAGCATCCCGAGGATGTCCGCCCGCCGCTCCGGGGCTCAGGCCGGAGGCGATCGCCCCCCTTCCCTCCTCCGCCACCACCACGTCCCTACCTTCCCGGCTGCATGAGGTCCCAACAGGCAATGGGATTTCGGGAGGAAAAGAACCAGGGAGGCACGCGCGCTGCACACTGGACCTCCCAGCCTCGCAGGGGGTGGCCGCCCCCGGGATGCTCACCCCGGACCTGCACTCCGGAGGCGGCGGACAGGAAAGCCGCGGGGATCCCGCCTCCCTCCCCGCAAGGTAGTGGCCGGAGGGTTGCGCGAAACCTCGGTGCCAAACGCCCAGCAGGCCGGGCCGCCGGGCCTCCCCGCCCCCTTCAGCTCAGCTCCGGGCCGGCAGACGGCGCCCGGGGCTCCCTTCGCCTGGGAAGAGGAAGCGACGCAACGAATATAGCAGCAGGCTGTGTGAACGCGAGGGACAAGGAGAGGCGGCTCCCTGTGCGTCCGCCCGCCGGCAAGGCCGTCTCTCCGTGCCTCTTGCCGAGCCTCGGCGGCCCCAGCTCACCTGACGAGGGCACCCAGACGCCGCCGCGGCCGCCGCGATGGCCGTTACGGCACGAGGCCTCCGCTCCGCCGCCCGCCGCGTCGCTCTCAGGGGAAAGGGGCGGGGCGCGCGCAGCGGGCGGGCGGAGGTGCGGCGCCGACTGGCCGCGAGGCCGAGAGGGCGGGTCCGCGCGGGCAGGAAACACTCTCCTGGCCTAATCTGATAGGCTGGATCTCCCCCATCCCTCCCATCCGCCGCACCGGGATTGGGCGGCACTGCCTGTCCGTCAAGCGCTGTGCTGGGCGTGGACGGAGCTGAGGCTGCGCGGCGCAGAACGAGCTGGAGAGGGAGTAGCGCCGGCCTCCGCTCAGGCTCCTGTCGCTCTTTTCTCTCTAGCTGCCTACGCTGGGCCCTCCTCCTGGATGCTGCGGACAGACTCCACAGCAAAAAAATTAAAATAAAAATTAAAAAAATGACTGCTTCCCGAGGTCAGCCCCAACCGCTCTGGGATCTTCCTTCGGGTTTCTGCACCTGAAAAGTCTTGGCAGATGAAGATCCTTGGGGGCAGACAGCAAAAAAAGAAAGAAAGAAAGAAAACCCAAAAGGCCTGAAAATGGGTACTTGGGAGAAAAAATGTAAGACATAATGCTTCATGTGAGCCACAAACCGAAATAGAGTCTGAGGGCCTTTTTTTGCAGTGGCCATGCTGTGAAGAGAAAGGACAGTGACTTTCGGTGGCAGATCTGCCCGCTCTTGGGGGGCTCTGCCCCAGCCACCTGCCTGGCCACTCACAGCATCCCTCATTCCCTCCTAAACTAAACTTTGTGGCTTAGGGTTAGGCTTGCCTTCTCAGGGAAGCCTGCTCGGTTAGGTACCCTTCGTGGAGTATTGGTATTGTCCCCATCCAAGCTGTGGAAGTAGTTCACCTGTATATTTAGGTTGTAAACTCCATTTAAGGTAGAGACCCTATCACTTTTCAGTTTTCCCCCAGTGCCTAGCACGTCAGTAAATATTAAAGGCATTGATACCTCGCCCTTTCCCAGCTTTAATCCTGGCCCTTGACTTTAGGTTCCAAGAGTTCACACCTTTCTGCATTTAACTTCAAAATTATTCCATCTGAATACTGGTGATTGTATGTGGTTTGCTTGCCATATACAGGATCACAAGGTTAACCTCACCATTGGCCGCTTCCTGGCTTCAGGTAGGCTGACGCAAGTATAGCACGAACCTCTGAACATCAGCTAAACTCTCTGTTTACATCTTATTGTTGGCATCTGCAGTGAATAACATAAGTGAATTTTGAATTTACTGTTAGGATCTCAATGCCGTATTTTGTCATGGCTGCCTTCCTAAAAGTTATATGTTGAACCCTTACCCCCAATCTGGCTATATTTGAGATAGAGCCTTTAGGCAGTAATTAAGTTGACTGAGGTGGTAAGAGTGGGGCCCTAATCTTATAGGATTAGTGTCTTTATAAAAAGGGACACCAGAGAGCTCGCTTCACCATGAGAAGACAGCCATGTACACGACAGAAAGAGAGGTCTCACCAGAAGCTGATCATGCTGGCACCCTGGTGTGGAACTAAGCCTGCAGAACTGCGAAACATTTTTATTTATTGAACCACCCACTCTGTGATATTTTGTTATGGCAGCCTGAGCTAACTAATACTACCCTTTTATTGATACATTTTATAAAGTTTATGATCTGAAGTGTGTTACACTCATTTTTGAAGCTGGAGAAACCATTCTCCAGAAGTTAAAACTATTTATCCAAAATCACAGTGCGAACTGTTAGGAAAACCTAGCTCAATTCAATACTAGTTACACCTTTAACCTGTGTTAGGGGCAGGGGGATGTGAATACAAATACAATAGGTAAAGTAATTCTTGCCATCAGGTAGCTTATGCCGCCTACCTTAAGTGGGGAAAATAAACCCAGAAAAAATATGCTTAAGTCATAAGTTTAATTTTTATTTTGAAAAGGAATATATAGTTTGAATTGCCCAACAATCAGAACTGACCCTTCATAAGACTGCAGATTTCTTGACAACCGTGTGCCACCTGTTTAAGCAATAGAAGAATTAAGGGATTTTAAAGTGTCTTAGTTCCTTTTAAACCTGTTTTTTTTAAATATATATTTTTATTGATTTCAAAAATAAACTAATCTCACTTAAAGAAGTCTAAAAGAGTCCTGGTGGGGTTAGCTCAGTGGTTGGACCATCAGTCCACAGGCTGAAGGGTCTCAGGTTCCATTGCTATCTAGAGCAGGTACCTGGGTTGCATGATTGATCCCCAGCACAGTCAGCATCAGTCTGGGTGGGTGCAGGAGGCAACCAGTCAATGTGTATCTCCCATATTGATGTTTCTCATTCTGTCTTTCCCCTCCCTTCCACTCACTCTAAAAAATCCATGGAAAAATATCCTCTAGTGGGAATTAGCAGCAAAAAGTCTGAAAGACCAAATAGTTCTTTTATTTAAGACTTGTTAAAATAAAAAGTTATACCTAAGCCCAGCCAGCATGGCTCAGTGGTTGAGCATTGACGTATGAACCAGGAGATCACTGTTCAATTCCCAGGCAGGGCACATGCTTGGGTTGTGGGCTGATCCCCAGTGTGGAGCATGCTGGAGGCAGCCAATCAATGATTATCTCTCATCATTGATGTTTCTATCTCTCTCTCTCCCTGTCCCTTCCTCTCTGAAGTCAATAAAAAATATTTTTAAGTGAAAAAGAGAAATTAAAAGTAAGGAAAGAGAGATGAAAGAGGAATGGTATATAGGCAAAAAGTAATGTATCAAATTGTAGTGTGATGTAGTTAACAGGAATAGAGTCCAAGTTCTTATGGGGTAGGAGTTATTCCAGAGGCTTCCTTTCGCACAATGTCTCCCCAACTTCCAAACATAAACATGCATGTTACTTCTTTTAGCAGAACTCAAACCAAAAACGGTAATCACCCTTGCTAATTAGTGCTGAGTGGACCAGGGTCTAGATAGAATAAAATGACAAAATTTAGGTCAGAACTTAAAGACCTAAGGACTGGAAATGGAGCTTTTGATAAGTAGCTAATCTGTCTAAGATAAAAGCTTGCATTAACTCCAAAGAAAGGATATAGGAAAAGAAGGAAGGAAAAAAATGAGCCTCCATGTCTCAAGGTCTTTCCCAGGAAACTATTGATAGCTCGAATTGATTTGAGAGCATGATCTGTTTTAGCATCATTAGCCAGGGCTCTTTAGGACCAAAAAGACCTACTAATCAAGAAGTAACCAATCACAGGCTCAACTGTGAGGTATAGAAACTAGTGGACCCTGGGAACTAAATTTCTGGATTGAGTATTGCTATGCTTTTATGGGAATTAATTCAACAAAAATGTTTTGAGTCCACTCTGTAATAGGCACTTCAATAAGTGCTTAAGATCTGTCTTAAACTTAAAGGAGTTCAATCCAGTGCCAGAGAATGAAATTTAAACAGATATTTATTATTAATATAGTAAGTACAGCAATACTATGTACAGAGGAACATTAAGCCACAGTGGAAGGGAAGTTGTGTGGTCAGGATAGTCAGGCAATTAAGTAGGCAAAAAAGAAGGACTTTTTACAGAGAGGAGTCTGCATAAAAATGCTATGACACAATAGTAGAATTTTGCTGGAGCAGAAGATGACTGGAAATGTAAGCAATATTGGGTTGTTGAAGTTAAGGACCTTAAACTTTCTCCTGTAGAGTCCAGAGAGCTTGCTGGACAATGAGAAGCCATTAAAGGGTTTCTTTTAGCAGCTTAACCTGTCATTCTGTTGTTTTCTGGCCTCATTGTCTCTGATGAGAAACCAGCTGTAATTCTTATCATTATTTTCCTGAGTGTCTTTTTTTTTCTTTTTCTTTTTTTCTGGCTGCATTTTAAGACTTTGTTTTTTTAAATCTTTGTTTATCATCATTTACACTATGTTACTAGGTGTGGTTTTCTTTGTATTTATCCTGCTTTAGTTCACTTATCTTTGTTTCTGTGAATTGCTGGTGGTTATTGCTGTTTTCTCCTTTGTCAAATTTGGAAAACTTTTGCCAAATATTGCTTAAAGTATTTTTTTCTGCCCCATTTCTCTCTGCTCTTCTGAGACTATACTTATGCTAAACTTCTTAGTCCTTAATACATGTGATTCCAGACTCTGTTCATTTTTTTTCCAAGTCTTTTTCTTTCTATGTTTTGGTCTGGGTAATTTTTTTTTTTTTTTTTTTTTTTTTAGAGCCAGTGTCTAGTAATTCTTGGAAAAATGTTGACATTTTCCAAAAAAAACACAGACATCCTGCTAATAACTATGGGTTTATTTGGGGAAGGTTTGGAGACACATTAGTGAAGAAAATAAAAAATATAAATCACAAAATATTACAACAGAGAGAATTTAACACTGGATGTTGGTGAGAGGCAGGATAATAAAAAATTAGTAAAGTTCCTTTGCAAGTGCAATGGGAAAACAGATAGATAACTGGACAAACTGGCCCAGCAATATACGGGATAGCCAGAAAACTAATCACTAGGTCTTATCTTATACATTCTAGGCCTTGTTGGGGCAGACCCAGAACTACCTTGATCTTAGTCCCTTTTAGGTGACATTCTTTGAAGGTGAAACTGACCAGAAAATGACCTATATGCTCATTTTAATGCATCAGCATATTAAAAGACACACTTGGAAAACTGAATATTCTATTGAGATCCTCCCAAGACCTCCCTTAAAATTCCAGATTTTATAAAATAAACAAAACCCCTTAAGACAAGGGACCCAGTGTGTGGGCTCTCTTGCTAGAGCATGCACATGCCTTCTTTATTCAGGCATGTATCATTGCTTGCTTTCTCCTAATCCCTTAAGGATCCCCACAATACTTGCAACCAAGGAAGCAGCGGGCAGCAGCAGCCTGTCCTGGGCTAACCCTCTGAACCTGTCTCCAAGGGCCCTTCTTTTGCCTCTGTAACTTGTTTCCTGAGTCCACGCAGCCCAGCTGGCTCATTTCTTCTGCCTCTGCGACTTTCTTTCTAAAAAACCAAGGCAGCTGTCTGAGCAGCCCGCTCAAATATTTTCTTCGACTATACTTTTACATTGCATGCTAAATAAACTTCCTCTTGTGCTAGAGTACTTGTCTCTGAATTCTTTCTTTGCCAAACTCAAGA